CTCCCAAAATCTCCTCCCATGAAGATTGGGCTCCTGAAGCCACATCAGCATGAAAAAAACAGGAAGGAAAGGACACTTTATCTGGGTGATGCCCCAGACTTTGACAGAGGCACCACCTCCAACCACAGTACCTAGCATGGGTCTTAGCTCAGGCAGGCAGACATGGAAACACCAAATACCCCAACAAAATCCAAGACCAAATAGCATTCAAGTTTTCTGTTTTTTTTGTTGTTGTTGTTTGTTTGTTTTCTAAATCAGGGCCGTCAAAACCTTCACTCTGTTCTGCCTACCTCTTTTTTAATTGCAAATTAATAGATCTGTGTACAAAAGCCTGAACTGGGTGAGGTCTCCAGGCACTGAGCCTGGCTGGTGATTACAGTATCCCCTGTGGGTGCTTAGGTTTGGATTTAGGAAGTGCAGGAACTACCAAAACTTGAAAAATATGGGAGTATTACCACTGTATTATTATCACAGTATTGCAAGGGCTTCTTGAGTAAGAGAGATTTTTTTTTTTTGCCTGGTCCCAGAACCTCACCCATGGACAAACAAAGTCTTAGGGGGGGCCTTACCTGTGTTGACTTCTTAAAATTAAAAAATTGACTTCTAAATCTAAGTCAGATCTCCTACAAAGCAGGAGTGACAGTAGTTAGAGATGGAAAAGAGCCAGTAAGTCACTGAGTCTGGACTGCTGCAAGTTCCCAGAGACACGCCAAGGACACGTCAGGACTTGGCCTGGGACTGCATCTGATCTCAGCCAAAAGGGCAAGAAGTGGTGATGGGATGAGGACAAAAACGATCAGCAGCTGCCTCTGTACACTCTGCCAAGGAGGGCCAGGGCAAGCCTCCTTGGAATAGAAGTTAGAATTTCTCAAGTTAGGCAGATGGTATTTGATCTGCTCTTATTACATAATCCTGAAAGGTCTGTACCCAGTTTTCTACTGTCCTAATAATGCCGTTTTGCATGTTACAAGAAACCTGAAGCAGCATCAATAAACTATTCTCACGGGGCCAGTTTGCTGACACACTCTTCTTGCTTTTGCAGTACACAAGGTTATCTTTAATGGCAGAAAATATCTTTTTATTGCTCCCAGCTGACTTGGTGGAGATAGATCTGCTGACCTTACTGTCCATGCAACTTGTGCTCTGGTTGGAGGATGTTTCTAAGCAAAACTTTTGCTTCTAAAGGAGGTTGAGTTGTCAAGAAGCTCAGAAGTTTTTCAAAAGAAAGAAGAAATTTAAAGTAATGTCAACATGCTCTGATTTTCAAACTTCATTTGGAGCCCGTAGCCCCATTCACAGGGTCCTGAGTTCATGATTTTGTTATTAGTTCAGCACAACCAATAAGCATGTTTGCACTTCACAGGGAGCACAGAGACCAAAAGGACTTTATTACAAGTGTGCAATCGCAGACTTCTGTACCAAGAATACACATTTGCACTGCAAAAAGCATTTGCAGTGGGGTGGATAGCCAAATAGCAGTAAGACTTGACCCCAGATTGGATGGAATATAGTCACGTCAAACATATGAACACGAGTAGACTGGCCTCTTTCCACACTTGAAAATCATTTCATTGCCAGACAGGTGTTCTGTTTATGAAGAAGCAGAGCTGCTTCTGATAGGTTCTTGGCAATACCAGGTAAAGCACTTGCAGGTAGGCCAATAGACATAAACAAAAAGGAGACTGGAACTCACCCAACTGGTGAAGGGGCTCTCTAGCAATGCAGCACTCCTTCTCAGGAAGCAGCCTAGGTCCAAGAAATGCTCTTCCTTCCGTGGCTGGCCTTTATATGAGTGCAGCTCCCACCTGAGTCCACTCCTTCTGCTCATGTGTGGAGCACAGGTGCAAGCAATGTGCCTGTTCTCCCTGGGCCAGCCACACCCCTTCACCAAGTGCTCAATCACCAGATGGAGCCCTGACCTAACAGTTCCCCTCCAACAAGTAATTTAAAATGATGGAAAACCTACACCTATCTTCTACACATGTGTAGTGCCCTTTTAGACTGTGAAAAATGCTGGATTTCTTCTTATTGTTTTACAGCATATGTGAATTCTGTTTGAAATATTTAATACGAAATGACATAATTTAAGACAAAATGAACAGAAATAAATTTAGGTTGCAGTTTTAGTGAAAGGAGGGAGACAGAAAGACTTGTTTTCAGACACAACATCTCAGCTGACCTAAAAGCCACAGTGTCATCAGCCAGGAGAGCAGAACGTTGCAGACAGTAAGGAAAAGGTCTTCTTACCCAAACCCCTGTCAACTGCAAGCGTGCAGCTCACCCTGTGCAGGGTGAGGGCAACTCTCCTGTGCACTGCCACGTGTGCAGCTACACGCTGAGCATGAAAGACCAATTCACCAATTAACTGAGGAACTGACTACAGAAGTTGGTTCAAAAACGTATCACAGAAAAATAATCTATCTGGTTGACTGACACGTAGTAACTTGTTATTGAGAGGAATCTGTGTTGTTACATCGCTCTTACTGAGAATATTTTGGGGGGTGAAAAAGTTTTGGAAACTGCTGAAACATTCTGTGTTGATGTTTCTTTGAGCAAGAAACACGCTTCTAAGACCAGTGGTTTTTCATTACTGAAGTTAAACTCCCTGAGAAAAAAAGTTAAGAACAGGAAAACACAAAAGCAAAATAAAACATCACCGTTCACTCAAAATCATTTCTAAAACCACCACCTTTCAAAACACAATACCTGACTTTTCATTCTGACTTGAGACAAGAGCATTTTTAAGCCCAGAAGTTTTTCCTGAGACAGAAATGATTTTCCTTTTTCCTCTATCCAGAGGGACCAGTCAGAAAGAACACTCTGTTTTCTACTACTATTTTTGTCCCTAAGCTTTTCTTCTTTCCACTTTTTAAATTATTTTCTCTTAGTTTCTTTTTATTTTCTTTCCTTTTCTAAATGCCCTATGTACTGTAAAACAGAAGAAACTTGAGCTGGGAAGCCAAGATTATTTGCTCTTTCTCTCCTCCTTTCCACTGTTATTCAGAGGGAGTATGAAAAGAGCTATATTAAGCTGAAATTTTATTCTGCCGTCCTCTATTCAACAAAAGATAGTCCACTAAAGCCACTAAATCACAGATAACACTTCTCTGGGCAACATTATTAGGAGCTGACAGCTGGTGATGGATGAAGATCTCATCTTTTAAAGAAAAAAATACATTTAATTTCCTTTGTACATAAAACAGAGAGCACAGCATTGTGTATCTAAAGATAAAAAGAGACCCAGTGTACGCAGGGTGCCATACTTAAGGGGATATAATAATGGGGTTGTGTTTCAGAGCTTACATTTTACAGGACATCTTCAAATTAATTTAGAAACCACTATTCTTCAACCTTCAATAGACAGTGAACACTAAAAAAAGCAGAGGACATTTTGCAATCAGCTCCATTAGAAATAAGCAGCACAAAGCCTGAGCTGTTACTTTTTAGGAAGAACGCTGGGAGAAAGGAGGAAAAAGAGAGAATGCATCTAGAGGACAGACTGATGGGTTTCTCTCTGATTATTCCTGGGATTAAGCAAGACTCCTAGGAGCCACTGGGTCTCCCCAAGACTGATAACGGAATGGATTTGATACAGAACATGCACAGCAGAGTCAGTATCAACGCCAAGGATTTCATCTGCCACCTTGAAAGATGGCTAAATGTTACATTAAATACAGCTATTTGTCCATCAATTAAAGCACATCAAGCCCAACCCCGAGTATGCTGGGTGAAAGCACATAAATTTCTCCCGCGGAGACGGGTAATACACAGTGCTGCCTTATTGCTAGTCTGTTTATTTTTTCCCTCAGATGACCTGTGACCACGACACATTCTACTTTTCACATTTGCAATGTATAACTGTATTTTACATGGCCTTTCTGCAGCACTAACAGCTGCTCCTTTGGTTGAATTTAATTTTAGCACTCCTCCCAAGCAGGAGATGGTGCGGATGAAACTTTAATTACCTGTCTGTGCTAAGGAGGACTTTAACTGCACATGTTCAGCATGAAAATACAGTCAGTCTGATTCCAGTGGTAGGAAAGACTGCTTTGGTTCTCCTGGGGTAAGGAAGAGTTTAAGAAAAGCATCTGTATGGAGTTCTTGTTTCTATGTCCAGACTTTGGATGCGTCTGGCTGCAAGTCCTCATAGGAAAAGAAGGCCCAACAGTGAGCAATGACCTTACTTTGAATACAAATTTGTAGCTAGCTAGGCTAAAATACAGGGGATGTTTACTAAGAACCTTACTCCAATGAAGGATGAAAAGAAACTTTCCACTGAAAACACCGAGAAAAAGCAGCCTTTCCAAAAACAAGTTTATGGAAAATTCTGTGCTCATCTTCAGGTCAAAATGGCTTTTCTGCTTTCTCTAAGACTTTAGACCAACATTTTCTTTCCTTATTTTTCTCCAGTGCCCATAAGAAATGTTGCTTGAATTGAAGGATAATACTTAGGCTTTCCTCTTTCTTACAAAGAAAAGCCCATAGAAAATGCTGGAAATCAACATGCAACTTCTCCTTGTGCTGGAAGTTCAAACACAGCAACTTAAAGCAAATCCAAGATCATTGAGAATTACAAGGATCTATGTATGTATTTGGGAAGGTGAAACATACTGCTTTAAGTTTCACTTATAAACGTGTACATGCAGCTAACTTTAGAAGTTCCATGGAACACTCACCTTTAAACCACTCCAGGTTACTGCTTCTCTGTGCAGAACTAGGTTTCTCCTGATCCGAGTGCTCAGCACTGTGCACGTGTTCCTGCCAACATCAATCAGTGTTACTGATCCTGATTGTCAGGATTGCTCCCCACCTACTGATGGGGTGTATCTAAGACACTGTTAAGAAGTTTCTGCATTCTGTATTCTGCTTTAAAAGTTCATTAAGTCCCTCAAAAAGTAATACCTTCTATTTGTTTCCATGCAAACTACAACAGTTACAAAGAGCACAATAACACTATTTGATAGAGCAAATTCTCAGCTACAAAACACTGTTTTTCAACACAGTCACCACCATTAGCCGATGAGCTGACTGAGTTGCTCTTCATTTTGTGGTATCACAGCTGTGCATGGCCGCCCAGAATGCAGCTTGTCTTTTTCATTACCATCCCCATTGCTGAAACAGTGCTAACAGCTGGGAACCATCCAGCTGGATACACACGGGTGCTACACTGAGCTCTCAGATTCACAGGGGCTTGGAAAGGACCTCTAGGGACCACCTCCTCTAACCCTCTGCTAAAGGTCTCCTGATCCTGGAGACAGCTGTAATTCATCATCTCTGGACTCTCAGCCACAGGTGCTGGATGCTCAGATTGACACATCAGGAACTTAACAGGGCTGTCCCCAGGTACCCTAGAGATTATCAGAAGTGGCTTTCAGAAGGATAATTAAAAAACAAAACAAACAGCCAAAATAAGCTTGAATCCCAAACCAACTAATGTTTGCCTCTCTCTCTTGTGTTACGAACTACAATTCTCCTTATTTCTGGAGTGTCTTCTATTTCAGGATATGTGACAACTTAAGAGACTTTAACAGTCTCTCTCAGTCTGGTATTTTCATAAGTATTATTTCCAATTCTGTTGCTGAGAAAAGCACAGCATAAAACATGAAGCTGTCGTCCAAATGCATGGCAATAAGGAGAAAATCCTGAGGTAGCTCTCCCCATTTTATGAAGAGGAAGCTTCTGAAGCTGCCAAATGTATTTTTTTATTATTATTATGTTTTTTAATTCAAAAATGAATCAAAGTGGGGGGGAATAAATGGGTTTTTTAAGTGGAAGATCACTAAATATTCCGTTCAACTGGGACTATCGCTTCACGCATATCCTGAAGAGAAGGGGCAAGTTAAAATGTTTTCCAACTGCATGTCATTTCTGTGCTAAGATAATTCCATCACTTTCCAGAGGTGTCATTTCAAAGGCAGCTACAAATATGCCGTTGGAAACTATAAGAAATACAACACCTGAGAAAGTGAAGTAGGGGAACACTGCAACCCACAAAGAAACATCAAAAGCCAAAACTGGGTCCTAAATCACAACATTAAAAGTGTTCTCCACAGAATTAACTGCAACCACATTCCAGAAATATTAAAATAAGATTACTGATCCCAAAATATCAACTTCCTAAAAATACATGGGTTGTTTTCAGTGTGTGATTCGGCCATGAAGGAATGTGATACACATAAGAGCTTCATGAAAGAGAAATATCTTTTCTTCTTCCCATGAGAGAAGAGGTAACTTTTCCTATGTGCTGTTCTTAGAAAGCCATGTGCTTATTTCAGGGGTAGTATTCATCCACAATGTGAGCCAGTGTTGCAAGACTGGGAGCTACTGATTCCTCACCATCTGCAAAATAAAGGTAACTTCAGTCAAGGCTGGGAAAGGAAGACACTTCCTCTGGAACAGACATAATGAATCTGAAGAATCCACTTAAGATGGGTCTATGCCATGCAATGTAAGGAAGCAATTCCAGTGGTGCAGATAGCACCTTAGCAGCTGCTGTGATGCTAGGAGCTCTAGCTCAGGGAAAGCTGTGCACTGCACTCTGAGCAATCGATCTTGCTGCTGCCAGTGGAGCTGCATGAGAATTTGAATTTAGGAGCTGAAAAGATGCTTAGCAAGCTAGGTAGTTTGAGTTGCTCCTTATTTATTCTATTTTATATCTTATTTGCTCGAGAACATCATATTAAATTCTAGGTAAAAAAGAACATAGAAACAATGAAATGTTCCTTTTTCTCTAGTTGTAGCAAAGCTTAATGTTCCCATATTCCTGGTTTTTATAATAATTTCCTTATAGCATATACATTTGCCTTGCTCCTCTTGGTCCTTTCATGATTATTTTAATTTGCTAGCATATTTATTTAGAAGCAAAGGTATATATGATTCTGCACAGGGAAACGCACAAACACAGCTCCAGCCTTGTTCCAAATGAGATACACATTCTGATAGTCTTCACAACTCTGTCAGGAGAAAGCCTGCAGAAAACATGGCTAAGACATTTTACTTACTGCCTTATGACTTGCTTCTCAAACTCTTCAAAAATCAAGGTAGATTTCTCTTCATGAAAGACTGGACCTTATCACAAGAGACTGAAAAAACTACATGCTGAGGGAAGATTTACACAGGTAGCACAAGGAAGCTACCCCTAAATAAAGTGTCTAAAAGGACATTTGGACTGCATTTCACAAATCCCCTGCAGAGAGAATAACCATGTTTGTGAGTTCCCAAGGTTTTTACTTATAGGCATCACTGAATACTCTGAATCCAGAATCTACTCTGAATCTGTGCTCTAGTGCTCCATTGCTCTGAAAAAGCATGTCCTCCTCTAACAGCAAATAAGCAGCAAAGACAAAAAGACATTTCAGAATAATCCATCAAAAGATAAGCATTTTTGTGCATGTGCACAAATATACATGTAATCATACACATAAGATGTGCTTTACCACTACACTGCTTCAGGAAGATGCTGCTGCAATGCTTGCTCACATGAAAACTGCACAGGTCTTGGTATCTTAAGCTGAGAAGCTCCAACACAAAGGTCTTGCCTGCATGCAGACATTGACAGTTAAACTAATAAAACCTTCAGCCCATAGCTAAATAAATGCTATTTGACCAATTATCAGCTGACATTCTGCACATGCTCCTGAACAGACAAGTTCCTGAAAATGAAACAAAAGAATATTATTTAGCCAAAAACAAGCTCACTGTTTCTGAACAGTTCATATGCCTGTGGAGTCCCTTCTAAGCTTAAGAGCTTGAAGTCATGCAGGGGCTCTCCAAAGCAGCACTTATCTGGTCACACACATCACGATGATAGCACTGTTGTTTTCACTGTGGCACTGAGAAATGACTCTTGAAATGTGAACTCTTGCTGAAGCACCTCACTTTTGAACTGCAATTGTCAAAAAACAATGAAAAACTGTGATATTCTCAAAATCACCTTTTCTTTTTTTTTTTTTTTTAATTGAGAACTCTCATATACAGCCTGTGGAATTCTGTGCAAATGGAAGCAAACAAAGAACTTCATACAACATAGTGCTTTTTGGCTTGATCTCACATTTAGTTATATACACATTGGCATGAATTGCTCAGGGCAATTCATCCATCCCAAATCTGTCCCTGATGCTGGATTAGAAAATAAGGTAGTCCAGCCTGAGACTTGGTTCTGTAGGCAGCAAAGCAGGCTTGCTCAGTCACTCTGTCTTGAGACGGGCAGCCTCCCGCCGCTGCTTCTGAACAGTCCTGGAATCTTCCCACAGCTGTGGTCCTCTGATGTTCTCCCAGTTATCCAAGTCAGATTTTTCCAATTTCTGCAGATAAACATCAAACAGAAGTGTCACCTTGAAAGCATTATGATTTAAAATATGCATTAATCTGAATTGTTTTCTATTTGCGCGAGACACAGCATCACCATCGGGGTGAAGAACTGCCATCCACCCTCCAAAAGTTGTTCAGCAACAAAGAGAAATAATTTGGAAATATTCATATAGCGAATAAATGATTAAGGTGGGCATTACTGCCACTGCTTATCAACAGATAAGGAAAGGTAGAACAGGAAGACCTACAGCATCTGAACATGACTGAAGGCATTTTTGTATTCATTCTTTCTTCGCTCACCTTGTTTTCCAGATCAGTTCTTCTTGTGCAAGTCTGCCTAGTGCTGAGTTGGGAGCGATAAGCGTTGGTATAGCTGCATCACTTTTAGTAGTGACCTGAAGTATTCTGTCAGCACAGATACAAACCTTGCTGGAAAAGAGGAATCATCCAGCACTATGAGAGACAGTAACAGTGCAATTCCCTCAAATCCATGCAGTTTTAAGTGGAGAGAAGTGCATGACGCTTTCTACTGTCTTGTTTTATATGGTACTCAATAGAGACAGGCCTCTCAGAAAGTCATACATAGGATGTGCTTACTGGCCAAGCTGTTAGCATATACTTAAAAAGTAGTTAGATTTTAAATGATCTCCTTACCCATTCCTATTAATCCCACTCAGATGAGGCACTCACCACAGTCTTTTTCTAGCTTGAGAGGAGAGCAAAAAGGAGGAAGAGGAGCCCCTCTAGCCTCACCCACCAAGTGCTGCTGTTGAACTCACCTCCACAGTTCCACTGGGAGAGATGCAGAAGCACCTAGCAGGTGCAGACCCAGAGCCAAACCCCACCCAATGCTCTGTAAATGACAGTTTGCTCTATCAAATAGTGCTATTGTGCTCTTTTTACTCGCTGTAGTTTGCACTGAAATAAATAGGAGGCATTGCTTTTGAAGCAACCTATATACTTAACCTGAGCTTGTAGTTTAATTTGCATGAAAATATTGAGGAACTTTAAAAATAACTGCAGAAAATTCAACAGCTATAACAGACATGCTACCATGACTTCATGTTATATAAAAGTTTTCTGCCACTTCTACAAATTGCAATGAGGTTTGTCAGATATCAAAAGAAATTAGGCAGCGCTCAACAGAAGATCTACGAGAACACACACACAGACACAGCAGACTTTCACGAGGTGGAAGCAGCTGAGTTTCTCATACAGTGAGCTGGCACGCATCCTTCCGAAGCACGGCCCTCACAACTTTACACATCTTACAACTAGCTGCTATTTGATTTCAGCTGGAAGGGATCTGAGCTGACCTAGGAGGATAGAGAAGGAGGGTGCTTAGGGAAGGTACGCATCATCCCATGCATCAGCAACTATCCACTCTGCAAATTCAGACTTTAACACCTGATTCACAGCAGTTTCAAGGAAACTACACTAAAAATAACCTTGTGCTTTAGCATATGGCAGGCCTGCTGATTTTATTAAGCACAGAGGTACCACACAGCTGTGAAGTTCTAAACTGTTCCCAAGGGTGCTCAGCTCCCAAAGTCTGAACAAGAAACAGCATTTAGAATATATACCACAAGGCTTGTAGAACCCAAAGATACACTATGCAAGTCTATCAAGAGAGAGATGCATACTGGAGAACCTTAACAAAAGTTTGTATTAATCTGACCCCGAAACTTCACAATGGCTTTTCAAAGAGTTTTATAAAACTCTTCCAATGGAAAGAGTAAAAGCAGCTGGAAAACACAGTGTGATCTAGTGACAGAATAAAGCTTCCACAGCTCTCTGCAGTAAATGTAACTGCCTCAAACTACAGAACAGATGAGATCTATGTAGAGTTCTTTTTTTGTCAATTAGAACACAAAGAATTAAAGAGTCTATTGAATGCAGAAAGAAACATTTTTCTTATTTATTTTCTTTATATTTACATAAAAGAAGAGGGAAAGAAGTTTCCCTCTACAAAGCTTCTTCAGACTACCCAAACCACATCACACTGTTAGAATTCAGCACGACGGCAGGGTTTCTTTCCAAATGAAGTGAACCTGGCTGGACTCATTTTATTTTTTTTTTATTTCAGATATTTTATTTTTAGACACCTGTACTGTGCCCACCTAATTTCACCATAAAGATGGTAAACCACCTCCAGCTTTTACTAAATCCATACAGTCCGGCAGTTTTAGAAGTGAAAAGCTTTTTTTCCCAGTCAAATGTACTAAACAGTCAATCATTGGAGACTACAATGAAATGTAATCAGATCAGACCAGCCCCACTTTCCCTGCTTGTTTCAAATAGCCCCAGGGATAATGAAAATTAGCTGTTTAAAGTAAGATCAGTGTAGTCCATTAAATCTACTGATTCACTTCCTAAATCAGCTAAACTGCCTCTTAAAAGTACAGGACTGACAGAAGCTGTAAATCCAAGAAAAAATGCAGTTATGCAGGCAGGCACGGTGAACAAAAAAGAACATTCAACTCTTTGCCACACAGCTGACTTTTAGAACTTTTGTTAAACAGCCTGCCTGGCACTAGTGCACCGCTGAGGACAGAAAGAAGCCTTCATTTCTGAGCTGCTGGTTCAAATATCTGGCTGGTTGGTTAGTAAGTAAAAGCTATAATCCTGTTAACCTTACAGTAAAATATATATCTTTTTTAAGAGTTTGAGTTCTACTCCTGCAGGATCGTTGTCATGCCACAACAAACCCAGATTGGCAAAAATGCGTGTGGAGCCTTGCTGCAATGATGGACTTCATTCAGAGTTGCCACTTGCAATAAACATTTGGCTGTAGTCTGCTTCCTACATGTGAAATCCTGTTTATTGCATAGTGTGTTGCAATAAATTCTGTGATGAGTGCCATAGAAAGAAATGACTCTAATTCAAAGAGACAATTATTTCCCATTATTATAGTAAGCAACCCTATTTGCAGATAAAAGCTTAGCCAGGGAAGAACATTCTACGGCTGAGAAGCAATGAAAGAAATGCATTAAACTTGGCTGTTCTTGCTAGACTGTCAAAACAGGTTGAAGTCCATGAAAGATAGATTGAGGAGCTCCATTCTGACACAGAGATGCAGAGGTGCAGAATAAAGGTTTACACTATATTTCCTCCAGAAGGACTGAAAGCCTCATCTTTATCATCACATTTCTCTAGCCTTATTATCATTTTTTTCCACAGCACTTTCCCAGAGCCATGTCTTTGACATCTCATTTTCATAATAAAATATTGGTTTCACTCATTTTGCTTAGGATGCGACAAAATTTTATATCTAATTATCTGTGATTTAATTATCTGTAATTAGCATCCCTAAGATTAAAAAGAGGTACCTCTCTTTTTTTCCAACTAGAGAATGTTTAGTTTTTATATTAGTAATACATAAGCATATTAGGAAATTGACTGCTATGGCCAGAATATTTTTTGCTCAGTAAGGGAAGAAATGTGAAGTTTTTGCATTTAAGTCTCCGCAGGTTTAATTATTTTTTTAGCTTTTCTGAAGACTGGCAAAATCCACACAGATGAAACCAACAGAGTTCTTGTTGCTACCTTTGGTAGGACCCAATGCCCTTCACCTACAGCACAAACGATTAACTTATCACGAGCATGGTTAAGAGGCTCTTTCTGCATAGGTTATTTTCCCCTTAGTTTGGACAATTCAGCACTGTGGGGCTGTGCCCCAAATCAGAAAAACCGAACTACATTGGGACATACGGTTTAGAAATTAACTCTATTTAAGCAGAAGACTATGCAAACACTCCAACTGGCAAGACAGAAGGAATCGTAGGACTGCGAGTGAACAGAAATATCTTTAGTTGGCAATGTTGTAAAGGATTTGTATCATAGACTTGCGATGCCAAATTGTCTGTTCCATTTTTTTCCCAGTTTGAAGAATGAGAAATGCTTGCCTTCATCTTAGAGGTATCATCAAGTTTAACGCTTCAGAGTGCACTCATAATCTCGTGTGAAGATGCTACAGTGATACAAATTACTTAATAAAACAAACAATTAAGGTAGTTGGTTAGAACTATATGATTACACAACTTTGCCATGACTTCCTCCTTCACTCTCAATGAGAAAATCTTGGAAGTCACACTAAATCTCACGAAATAGCTTGCTATTTATGCATCACACCCACACAGCACCCATGATGGACTTCTGGGTTCAAAAAATTTACAGAGCAGTATGGACGAAGTCAAGAGAACTCAAGCTGCACGGGTCATTTGCTTTATCGTTTTTTCCTTCATCAAAAATGATACACTCAATGTATAAAGAACAGCACGAGTGCAATATTACACCTACAAAATCAAACATCCAAAATTCAGCAAATTCCACAGTGAATTAAGCAATGAAGTACATTTAGCATGGCTTCCACTTCCATGGTATGTGGAAGTTTTATTAAGCTATGGTTAACATGCACTTGGAAGCAAAAAGCTGCTTACTGAGGTTTATTTTATGAATTTACACTTTGGGAGACTTAGCCAAGCTGTCAGCAGTGAGAAATTTCTGGATGTGAAGTGTTTGATCTTGCCAACTTTGCATCATAATGAACTCTGCAAAGGTCTGTCCTGGTTTCTGTAACAGAACCCTCTAAAAGAGGGACAGACACTTGGGATGCATGCAAGCTCTCTTTCAACTACTGAAAGCTGAGCTTGGCTGAAGAAGGTGCAAGATCTTTTGCAGTTCAGAAGTGCAGTAAGAGCAACAAATCACTCCTGAACCCTGTAGGTCTGTGGCTAGGAGGAAGAGCAGATGGATTTCCACAGCCTGTCCCTGTCTGGAACCCACAAATGCCTGCTGAATTTAAAGCTGGCAACACAGAGAAGGTTTCTTTCAAGTATCTTACTTGGATTATAAATATACTTTCAAGTGTGAACTATTTTTTCATTATGTGTATCTAAAGTTTGGCAAAATATATCTGTCTAATGATTACAAAAAAAAAAAAAACAACCTCTTGAACATCTAAACCAGGAAGCGTTGTACAAGGATCAAAATA